CACCTATCGTGATGACATTGTAATTCAAATTTTTAGGAGTTGAAGGTTTCAGAGATCCAACAATTTAACCAAATTTCCTTTCAGTTGAACTCTGTGTTTCTTTAGTGATTCTTGATTGTTGAAAAGACTAATTAACCAGTGAAATGAAAGTGAAACTAATATGAACTTATGTTGGGTAGGATTGAAGGATTCAGAAGATCACCCTGTCCAAAAAAAAAAAAAAAAAGGATACAGAAAACCACAGCCTTAAGTTACTGAAAAACTAGAATTAGTTTTCTTTGGATACATGAATTCCACCAAGGATAATTAACCCTGCTGGAATCCTAATGCTTGCACTGAAGTACAAAATCACCAATGTGAGAAAAACCCTCACATTCACGTGCACCATATTCACCTCAGATTTTCAACTTGGCCCAAATCTGTGCTCTGCTGCTTGTTTTAGATTTTAATGAATTATAAATAATTACCTGTGGTTTCCAAGCAATAAACAATTAGGCCAATTCTTTTTCTATTGGTGCTCATTATAACAGCATATAATTCATCCATTATGCCACTCAACATGTATCTCTTCTGTAATTTTCTATTCTTCAAACTGAAAATGCATGCAGCAATATAAATAAACTTCAAATCCTGAAGTCAGAATTAATCTCCATGATTCAGTCCAGCTTGTTATGTGCGGAATTTTTATCCGAGGTCATGTTTAATACAAAATGATATATATTATTTGTGGTCATGTAATTGCTCAAATTTTTTACAATAAACTCTGAGGTAGAATACAGGCTTCTTCCTGGCAACCATGATGCTGTAGTTATTTGTTGTTTATTTTGGCTTGTCATGCAATTATCTAAGTCATCCATTTTCTCAAGGAAGGTGAAAACCTTAAGATCTGTCTATCTGTTGGGTAAATTCCAGTTCTTCATAGTCCCTATGATATCTCCTTTTAACCCTATTCATCATAAATCTAGACCTTGAGTAAAATCCTGCCCCACCTTTTTTTTACTCTAGGAATTAGCAAATTATGAATTCTCTAGTTCACTTTGTTACACCGTGTTTTTGCTAGGAGGTCACTGCCTGCCTTTAGCAACATGACCCTTCCTTGCATCACTATCTGATGCACAACTTCATAGCCGAAGCACCATCACTACCACCTCATCTACAAGCACCTGCTGCCTCCTCTCCCTGCTGCTGTAACTGCAGTCATTCATCTCCCTGGTGCCTCCGTCTCTCACTCCACCACCATTCCAATGAGTCCACAACTACCCACTACCAAAATTGCTGAACCCCCCCACCCCCCCCCCTCTTCTCCCAATAAAAAATAAAAAATGTGGAAAGTGAAGTACAGAGAATGAACAGAAGATAATACATAGCATTCTCCTTCTCATCGAAAGTTTCTACAAAACCAAATCATCCTAAAACTAGGCAACTAATGCTAAAAGCATGGACTTGTGGAACAAGTGGCTAAGTTAGTGTCCCGCTACTTCTATCCACTTCTAATTTATTGAACACATGCTAAATGACTTAATAAAAACAAATTTGACTAATGACTAAAAATAAGGAAACCAATAACCCACTAACTAAGTTGAAGCATAAGTTCATCACAACCTCCTCTCCCCCCCCCCCCCCCCCGATAACCAGAAAAGTAAATTAAAATTGAAGTACAGAAAATGAACAGAAAAAATAACTTACCTTATTTTCTTTGATCTAGATCATCAATGGAAAGAGTGGTTGTTTTTGGCCAATATTGATCTGGAACTTTAGTGGTCAAATTTGACCCCCAACAACCCCCCCCCTCCGTGTGGCCGGAGAAGAGGGGGATAGGCGGTGCCGCGGTGGATGGAGGTGAAAAGAGAGGAATGGTGGTGTGGAGATAGATCAATGTTGGAGAGGAAAGAACTATGAATTGGATTGACGGATCAACGATGGTGGAGTTTGACCTTTAGAGATTGATTTACCTATGAGCTATGACACTATACTATGAATTGGAGAGATAGATCAGTGATGGTGGAGTTTGACTGTTGATTGATTTATCTATGATACTCTAATCATCATTTCATGCTCTTGAGTGGTTTAAACTTCATATGCTATTTCATTTTCTTGATAGATGTTATATGCTAAGACATGACCTTTACGTTTTTAAATTTTAACATTTTTAACTGATATCTGAGAATTTGTTTTGGGTGGCAAATTATGTACTGAGTTTGTGCTTACTCTATGAATCAGTTACGATCAAATGCTCTATGAGGATGAGAATAAAAATAGGATGGTTGAAACTAAGGAGCTCTTTGAATGGGTCTTGAAGCAGCAATGCTTTGAGGTGTTCCTTGTTCCTCTACTATTCTGGAATTATGGGGTACATAGTGTTTTCCTGGTAAGATTTAACTGTTTGAATCTTTGCCCCCTTTTTTTTTTTGCAGAGAACGTCCATCATGTTGTTCCTGAACAAGTTCGATATATTTGAGAAGAAAGTTCAGAAAGTAAGGTCAATAAGCTCTTTGGCCTTGAGAATTTGTTGAATTAACTCCATATTGAATGTCGTTCTTTGATTAACAGGTTCCACTGAGTACATGTGAATGGTTCAAGGATTATCAATCAGTTACATCTGGAAAACAAGAGATTGAGCATGCCTATGAGTAAGCACTTCATGGCTAGTTGCTACTTTCTGCTTTAGCTGTTTTGGTTGGTGGAATTCATGAAGTTGCTCATCCTTTTTTTTTTTTTTTTTTTTTTTGGTTCCAACTCATATTAGTTTTTCAGTGATTGGCAGAATATATGTTTGTAAAAGCTGTTGTTTGATGTTTGGTGCTTTAAGTAAGCTATTAACAATGAGTTAGCTTTGTAGATCTGTGAATTATTTGATATGTATTATAGGCAGTAGTCTCAACCTTGGATCTATGGTACCTGCTTTTGTAAAATTTGTTGGCTTACATCCACGATGCAAAACAGGCAACTTCATGATTAGATTCATTATTTTGATCACTGTATTATACTGTCAGGTTTGTTAAGAAGAAATTTGAGGAGCTCTATTACCAATGCACTGCCCCTGATCGTGTTGATCGAGTTTTCAAGATTTACAGAACAACCGCTCTAGACCAGAAGCTTGTGAAGAAGACTTTCAAACTGCTAGACGAGACTCTGAGAAGGAGAAACCTTGTTGAGGCAGGTTTGTTGTGATACAAAATGGCATTTCGGTGTGAGTTTGTTAATATACGTAGTATGTGGTTTTGGGGGCAGGGATCATATTTTAAGTGTCAAATTCAATTAATTAAAAGAGGGAGCAGAAAATTTTGACACCAAATTTGACTACTGTGTATTGTCTGTACACCACATTTCTTCTTTAGATTACACTGCCACAAATTGAATTATCTGTTCCATATTAATATTGGCTTTCCTCCACTCTGTCGGAGCGCCAGAATACCTTGTAGCTAAATATTTCAATCAGAAGATTATTTACTGACAGCTAGGAATCTTACTGAAGTAAAATCATATGTTCCTGTATTCCTTTATTGCCAAAAGTTACTATTTTGAAGTAAAGGACCATAGATTACTTCTGCATGCATTCGTTCTGAGTTAAAAACGTAGTCAAGTTTAAATTTCCAATTTTGCTAGCATCATGTGAGGTACAGACCGCTGCATTTGCTCAATGAGGTTAGTAGATTGGAAGGAAGAGGCTGGTTTGTCCTATTCTGTAGCTTCATGTATTCATGTGGTTATGTATAGGTAAAGTGCTTATCGAAAGCAAGGAACACAAGATTCCTAGTTAACAAATTGAACCAAGCAAATATAGTGCTTGAGCAGACATCAGTATCCTCTATCCACAAGCTTGCATTCATCTCTGCAGAAAGAGATGCGTGGGTGTATTTAAAGGCCCTTAAGCTGACTGGGATAGAATGACCTGACCCAAGAACAATCCAACCAAACCCAAAGTGACCTGAACTTGAATTCGAACTGGCACTGAAAAGCTGACCTAGAATGCCAGAGTGACCCGATCTGATATGACCTGACAGCCTATACACCTGATTTCGCAACTCTATATCTGATGTCTTATTTAAGGCTAATGCTGTCTTGTTATACATAAGGAACAATCCTTAAGGTTTAAGGCACCACTACGAAGTTTTACTGGAAAAACCCTTTATATTATATATACCCACATTTTAATGCGCCGTTGCGAAAATTCAATAAAAATAGACCTCAATACCCCCATTTGGCTGGGAAACTACCCAAAATAAAAATACCTTGAATACTAGTGGATGACTATACGGAATAATTACTTTTGATTCATTTAGCCGACTCCACTTATGGGATTAAGGCTTTGATTGATTGATTGACTTTATTTATTTATTTTTTATAAGAGAGCTAAAAAAACAACCTGAGGAGTCTAAAGCCCACTCATCTTAGTGATCTGTGTTTTGTTTCAACTCATTCATGTCTTCAACTTGAATAAAACTAGTTTATTAAGCTTCACCTTGTCTAAATACCATAGCATTATAGCATTAGGCATAAAAATAACAAGCAGATGGATATAGCTACAAATAGAAATGAGTTATCTAAATTGTGGAATCAGGAATCAGGACTCAGGAGGGGTCCATCTTTTGTCGCTTTAACTAACCACCAGGTCCATTTTCTCACTCTACATTAGTCGTAATAGTTAACGTAAAATTGGCTAATGCTAACTACCCCCTTAATATCCGCAATGATTAGATGAGAAAACTAAGGTGTTCGCTTTGAATATAAGCAAAAACTAGAACATCATTAGGAATTGTAATCTAAGGTCCCTTGCCGGATTAGCCAGAAGTTTGCCATTGTTTGCTTATCTTAAAGGCAATTATCAGTTGTAATTACTGTCTATTTGCTACTGGCTTACTGCAGATAATGACAGCTCGGCAACGAACTTGATTTGAAGCACCTAATATGCCGCTTTCAGTCTTTTTTCCCCATTAGGTTGAAACTTAAAAGTAGCATAATCAATAAACATACACTGTTCATGAATGATTGAACAAATGTTAAAAAAAATAGGCTCGTATTTCATTAACAAACTATGTTCAATAGTAGCACATAAGTAGTGTGTGTTTGCTAACAGAACTCTGAAATTGTAGTATGAATTGCTATTGAAATCTTTCTATAAAAAGTCATAATTTGTAGAAACAGGCCTTGTCATATCTTCTAGTTTAGTTTTACCTTAAACTAAACGCAGCGGCTGTATAGACTCAGCAACGGGCTGCTCAATGAAGTTACAGATGTTTGGGAGGACAAACAGAAAGGCACTATAGATCCATACTTTTATATACAGACACAAATCACTTACAATTGTATGTTAGTATAATAATCATGGAGTACTCTGTATTAGAAAGTGGGAGGGGAAGGAGGGGCCTCCCAGACATCGAAGACATTTTCTTCACTGTGAAGAGCAAAGAGTCGGTCCCCTGCGATTGAGAAGTCGCAAATAGGACCCCCATGTCCACGCCTAAGCCTGGAGGTTAACACCCAATCAGGGCCTGAGAATACAGAAATGGAATCATTCATGGAAGAAAATAGCTGGGAGTTGTGAAAGGCGAGCTTAGGGTAGCAAGGCTCATCCTCAGCAAGTTGCATCCTCTTATTAGCTTTCATAACATTAACCAAGCGACTCCTAGAGCTCCACCTGACACTGGAAGCAGAGCTTCTGAGGTCTATAAAGCCCAAATCCTCAAACTCGTTGACAACACATATGGAGCTTGCATCCTCCATGGCTATGGCATCTCTGACACGCTTGTCATCGACCAAAATTGGATTTGGGCCAGAAGCTCCAATGTCGGACCAGGACCAGACCATGGACTTGGCTCTGAAATCCAACAAGCTGATATAACAGTTGTCCTTCCTAGGAAAAAGGGTGGCCACCAGGAGGCAGTTGGAGGCCGGGAGCCACTGCAGCCTGTCTGCATCCCCAAGAGACCATCCTAAAGGCTCGTAGAAGAAATCGACCTGCTGGCCCGTCTCCTGGTCCCACACCCCAACGCCGTACTCATTGCTTCTGCCCTTGCAGCTGGAGTAAATCATTTTGGAGTTAGAGTCAGAAGTGCTGAAAGCCAAGGCACCTGCAGTAAAGCTCTTGACTTGATTATCATGTTGGACTTGGAATTTATGACGTAGCTCTCCGTTAGAGGCGTTGAATAGGCCCATACCACCGTCCCCACGACCGAGCCTCTCACAAGCGCTGACGACGACATGGTTAGCATCCAACCAGCCAACGTCGTTGACAATCTGGTAGTCCAAATGCAGGGGAGGGTGCTCCTGAAGCATCCAATCATAGACATGGACCATGCAGCCATGAGCGACACAGCAGCCACCATCAGGGCCAGCACGAATGGCAGTGCCATCACCGGGAGCACGGCCGGTGACAGAGGTGGTGGGACGGAGGCAGTTACCATCAAAAGGGCCCCACTTAGCGGCGCGGACATGGTCAGAGAGGCCGTAGAATTGGGCTTCCCTGAAAAGAAGGTTCTGAGGGAGATTAGGAGGGATGTGGAGGTCACCGGTGCGGAGAAGGTCGAGGAGGACACGGAAGCATTGGGGGTTCCGATCAATGAAGATGTCGGGTTTGGATTGAGAATTGAGATTGAGATTCCAATGATCATCAAAGAGTGCGCCGAAAAAGGAATTGCGGCCGGCATTAGCAAGCGTAGTAGAGGTTGTTTGGAAGATTTTACCGCCAACGTTGAAGGTAACTGTGTCTTTTGGGACCATTTCTTCTTTCTCTTTCCAATTAATTGCCGATCTGGGCAGGAATGGATGACCACCCTTTTATTTATTTTTTTTTATAAAATGAAGAAATGGATGATAGATGGTGATATGAAGCCAGAAATCTGTTTTGTGAATTTGAAAGAAAAGGCGTTTGGTACTCGTACTTGGTAGGGAAGAGTTGAGGAAAGAATTTTAGACAAGTTGGAAATTTTCAAAATCATGAAATATACTTGTAGAGTAGTTGGGTCAGTACTCAGTAGTCCGTAGCTTAATTAGTTTAGTGTTTGTTTGCTGCGCCTGCGATGCTGCGACCTCTTACCTTTTTCCACGTTCTAGCCGCCTTTCCTTTCCTTTCCTTTCCCCTCTCATAGGACCTTAACTCTCTTTCTCTTTCTTTTTCTTTTTAATCAAATTATATTACTTGGTGATTAGTTAATTCTGTTTGGAGTTTTGCCTTCTAAGCAAGGCTATAATCTGTTTTTTGCTTTCATTTTCTTGTCTTTATTACACTTGTTCTTACATCTTTGGGGAGATTATTTACAAACTACTTCATTTCTTTGTTAAAGATAAGCTTTGTTTACTTTAATAATAAGACTTGTTTGTGATTTTGTCTTTTCGTATATAGGGTTGAATTTAAAGTAGAAAATGATCATGGAATAATATTTATGAAAATGACTCAATGAGGTAATGTTTAATGGATAAACATAAAGAAAATGAGATTTTGAGATATACCTATTCATTTTTTTTTAAAGAGGTTTCATAATATAACAAAATCTTTGAGTACAATAGTGGTCAAAATCAACATGGAGTTATACGACTAAATAATAACACATATAGACCTATGAACAATTGCCAAAACAAGACATAGAAGATGGGAAAAGGGTAACATAATAATGTCAATCTCAATAATTGTAATTATAATTAAGGGATGGATAGTGCTTAAATAGTGGTTGCTCCTAATCCAAGATTATGGTGTGAATAAATAATACTCCATGTAGATTAGTATTGAAGTTGGACCCCTCGAAGGAGGAAGAGCGTGTCTTGTGGGGCGTCTTCATAAAAGAATAGATTTTACATATTCTCCAAGACCAGAAAACGACACCAGCCCACAGACCAAATAATACTTAATTGGTCAAATATTCAAATAAATAAGAGTTTAGAATTTAGTCGACGACTTTCTTCATCTATTTCCACTCATGACTCATTCATCCCTCTTAAGCTACGAATGCTTTGGTCAACTCTTTTACACTAAACAATACAATTACCATTCCAATTTTTCTTCCGTGATAAATGCAACCAATCTTCATCTTTCTACTTCAATTCTTTTACCAATTTGTCAGTTCATACAACTAAGTTTGCAGCAATATAATATAAATGAATACGAACTTCCTTATTACAATAATTTTGACAATAACTACAGCTTCTATATACTTGTATTTTGTGAAGGAATGTGGACCATACCCATAGTAACGTTACTGTAGGCACGTAAATTTTATATAAGTGCCACATTGGATATGATACGATCAAAAGTCAAGTATTGACTTATGTTTATTTGACTTTTAATTGGAATTAATTATTTTGGGTGAAATAACTTAAATTAGCCCATTTTAATTATTGTTATATTATTGTCAAGCCCAACATCCAATGTACATTAAACCCTAACCCTAGGGTGTCCTCAAATATTTTTTTTTCTCTCATAAACAGTTCGGTTCAGTTCAGTAAATCAAAACGGGTTCTTAGTGTAAGTTGCAATGTGTGCTTTGTTGCAAACGATAATTTATACGTGTATTGAGGGTGATGTTATGTTACTCTATCAACTTTTATCTAGTTTCTTAATATGAATTGAATTACAAGTAACTAGTAATTCTGGCTAATAAGATACAAGTATATTATCATCTTCTAATTAAAATTGATTGTTTTGAAGAATTGAGTATTGCCAATTGCCATAATGAATATATTGGCCGGTTCTCCTCTAGAAATAGTTATTAGGAACAAAACTATGTCAATTTAAAAGATAAATATCCAGTGAATATGGGATACAACTTGTTAATAAACACTGATGGTGTCAACATCACGAATAGGAAAACAAACTAAACAAAACTATAATTTGATTATCATTGGTGATACTTATCCTTAGAATGATACTACCTATCTAGAGCAACAAGACAACATGAACAGCAACTAAGATAACTGACTTTTAAGCATGAGTTGAATTTAAAATCCTCGTGGGTAAGTTTAGACTTTAGAGGCCTCCAGAATATTCAAACTGGTCTGTTTGGTTAGAAGTAACTAGTAAGCCTCTAACTACTGGGGATAATTCCTCGTTAAAGGGGAGGGGTTATATCTTATATGCTTGATCACATGAGTAATATCTTTAGAAATTTTGACTATCAAATAAATCTTTGTATGTACGTACTACTACTAAGTACTCCGTATAATACAACATCAAACAATTACGAAATAGCACAACGAGACTGGAGTACAGTTAAGGTTTTTACACACAGGACACAACATACATTGTTTGTTGAAAAACATAAGTTGATGGATGGATAAGTTGAACCATCACACTAACCACCTTTGCAGTTTCATCCGTGCAAGTGAAGCATAGAATGTAAACCAAGTAAACTAGACTAGTCCATTCAAAATTATCAGTGCAGTTCAAACTCAACTGACATAAAATAAACAACAGCAATAGCCGAAATCGAGACTAACTCTACGTAATATAACCATCTCTATTCCTCTCCACTCTGTTCCATTCTTCCAATTAACTCTTTTGGGCTTGGGCTTGGGCTTGAGAATCTAACATGCAGGGCCCACCAAAAAAAAGTCCTTTTGGCCTTGTGGGCTGTCATCGTATGTTAAACAAGAATGAACCACTCTTGGATAAACACAACAAATGCACAAATTGTATGTATACTAGGTCCTTAGACGAAAACACCCAACAATTAAACTAAAAGTCATTTGAATGAGAATATACTCAAAGCAAAGAACTTTAGCTTGAATGTAATGCTACAAACAAATGAAATGCTGTAAGCCTTCAATTGTTTGTTATGATATACCAAGGTAGCTAGCAGCCTAGCACCGCCTGACCAATTAATAATTAAGATAAGCAACATTGTGAATTTGTGTTACGTAACTAGCTTAATTAGCAAAGTGTCATTGATTAAATTGGATACTAGCTCTTTGTCGTTGTTGGTGTTGGGTGTACTGCTGCTGATGTTTTGTTAAAGTTGGAATATGAAAGAGATCGAGAGGGAGAATATGATGAAAAACAACTACGTACTACTTTTTTAATCACTCTATGGAGAAATCTCAAATGATAGTGACTAATGTTGTTGGAAGTTAATTATGCCTTGATAGAAGTCCACATACGTTGCATCTTGAAAAAAATGTCCACGTACGAAACTACTTGATAAACGTCTAAATACATTACGATTCAATTCTTGTCCCAAGTTACAGATATTAAAAATCAATTACCATTTGCTTAAATGATTATCGATGGTGGTGGAAGTCTACACCCATCCTCTAGCAAAATCACCTATTAGCTAGGTTAGCACGTTACAACAAAATATATTTTTTTCCTTTTTTCAAGTAAGACCAATTCTTTTTATTTTACATTTGTGTGTGTCTCCTTGCGTGTTAAATTTCCAACAAGTGCAAGAAAAAAAGAAGTATGAAGTTGTTATTAACTCGGCAAGTGGTGGCAAGCATAGTAGGAACTTGGGGGGTGTCAATTGTCAAACACGCACTCAACCTAGTTGCACGAGTTGGATTTGACTGTTGAGTTAGGTTTAAATGGAATAATATGACTATGTGAACAAGTTAGGTTGGGCGTTTTACAAGCTCCACTTTAAGTTAAAATAATTTAAATTAATAAAACAAGTTTTTTTAAACAAGTTAATATAAGAGAAGCTTAAATTAGTCAAAATAAATACATTGCCCTTCTACTAAAAGTCTAAAAGTGTAGAATTAAGGTCAGAAAACACTTTGTATATACGTTTAATAGTATGCTTGTATAGACTAATAATAATAATTGAAAAAAAAAACTTAAAATTTGAAATAGTGATGATAGTTGGTTATTTCTTAGGTATTAATTGGATCACGAGGAAAATCATTTAGGTCATGGTTGGTTATTTCTTAGGTTGAATTTTGTTCAATTCATATTTACTACATTTTATTGTCTTAGAGTTAGATGTGATTGGGTATGTATTGAGTCTAATATATTAAGATTGATTGTAAGTTAGGCCGATTCAAATAATTGTCTAATACTGGATGAATATTGATTGATCAAAGGTGGTGGCAGGGGTGAGAAAAAAAAAACTTACGTTATTTGTGGGCATTGCAAAAAGAGCCAAATCGGGAAAAGAAAACAAAAGTTCCGTCGAGAAAGAGACGAATAACATAAGAAAGTTGTTGAATTGATATTCTAAATGGTCTCATTGCCTGGCCTCCGGGAGAAGCGACAGCGATTGATATTACTCTTAGGCATATTCTCATTTCGCATCTTCTTCCTCAAGGTTTCTTCTTTCTAATCTCACTCCTTTTTCAGGGTTTTCTTTTCATTTTCCTTTATGTCTCATTCCCCATTACTTTACTTGCGGTACTTAGTTTACGATCATTCTCTTGTTTGTTTTATACTATTCCTTACAAAGAAATACACTTTCTGGGTTTCTTTTATTCTCCCATTTTCAACATTTTATTATATAATTAGCACTTTGTTTATAGTTTCATACTTTGAATTCATTCTGTTTCATTGATGTTATGTGTTTGATTATGCATTTGCTTCCCAGGTTGGAGATTGAACATAAATAAATCAATTAATTATATGTTGGCATTGCTTGGAATTTAATCTAAACACCCTTATTAATTTGATTGGTAAATGGTAATGGTGATGGATCTTGATGGAGGTGGCGACCCTTATAAGATGCTACTGAATGATCCCATTCTTTCAATTGTCGACAACTCTCTTCATCACTCAAAATACCTTTTGGCTCCTGCTTCTGTTGCACTCACTGAAGCCTTCACCTGCTTCTCTAAGTTTGCCGGTTCTATTGTCCTTTTCTTTTCCGGCTCTTCACAAATTCAAACCAAATTTAATTCTGATTCTAATCTTCCCAAACCTTCAAATTCTTTTGGACAATCCAAACACAATGCCCCCTCTACTAAGCCTTATCGCCGTCTGCCTGTTACTGTATCCTGCTTCAGATTCCCACATGAATCTTTTGCCGCGCTATTTGGTCATAAGTTTTCAGCCTTTTCTCTCAGACATTTTCTTAGAGCAGCAGCTGATGATGTTAAACCATTTCCTGTGCTCTCGCTAGCTGCTGCACTCATACCCCCACTTGATCACTTGTAAGTAATTCATTCATTATCTGCCTGTATATTTCAAATTATTGCATTTCTTTTTCACTTGTTACTTGCGTCCTATTTTCAGCACTCCTAGCATGTTAACTATACCACCTGAGGATGCTGATACACAAGTGTTGGCTTCCATGGACAAAAGCCCCTGCAATGTTCAGAGTCATCGAGATTGTGTTGGTCATGCATTTCCTGAATTTAAGTGGTTGAGAGATACAGTTGAACCCAAAACTGGCATTCAGTTTCCTGGTGTTTTAAATAGCATAATAGCCAAGGATACTCAGTCCAATTTGTCATCAGAGGTACTTCTACTTTTAGTCTCAGGATTTTTAGTCTCTACTTTGAAATAGACTGTAGATTTAACATGAAGTTCTATTTTTTACCATAGTATGGGAAAACTTGACTACACGGAATAATAAAATTTGGTTCATGTAGCCAATCCCACTTTATGGGATTAAGGTTTTGATTGATTGATTATGGGAAAACTACTTGCCATGAACACAAGGTTTTTATCTTTTTACTATATATTTGTGTAAATAGCAGGATTGAAACACCTTTGTTAATAATAAACAAAGCTGATGATGTCTTTCCCTTGAGTGCTTTGGAAATTTTGCTCCCTTTTAGCTCCTGCACTAGATTAATTTAGGAAAGAAATCACATTATTTCAGTATATTTTAGGCCTCAGGAATTTCTGATGCATCCTTTTCACCCCTTTAAGGCTTATCTAGTATATCCTTTATAAACCTGCGCTTTAGAATCCTTCGTGTGTGTGTGTTTATTGTCTTTTTCGCTGAGGTGAGATATGGAATTTCTGATGCATCCTTTTCAGTATTTTTTCATGGTTTGGTAATCTTGGACTTGTGGTAATCATGGTTTGGTTATCTTGGATTATAACACATTGCTTTGGTTGTTTATTTTTTAAGAGCAAAAGAAGAATCTTGGTGTTTGTCATTGAACTTATTTAGTTATTTTTTCAAATATACCTGTACTCATGAGCTACACTATTCCAATCGTGTGTCTTGCCCAAACAGACAATGGAATAGGCTGTTACACTTGCTATCCTGTGCAAATTATGTGTCTTCCACAAGCAAAACATATTTGATTCTCCCTTTGACATGATCATGTCAAGTTATGCAAGAAGTATGGCTTTCTTTGTCTCCACTTTTGTGTGCAATAATAACTATGATGATTCAATAGGGTCTGGGGAGGATTCAAGTGTTATCAACTGTATACAGGATCATCTAGAAGGGTCTGCTTTGCCGATCTCTTATTTGTTTCTTTTCTTCTGCTCTTTTGCCTAGTTGGCTCATTCTGTGATTGTATCCAGAAATAAGACTTGATATAGGAACCATATGACAGTTATGTAAATAACTTTGGAGCCCTTGGAACTCACTATCCTGCTATGCCTGATAGGTGCTTGTTGGAATGGGATCTAGGATCATGACTCTCATCAGAATTAAATCGCTGAAGGTCTATGCTTTTGGTTTTTGTAAGTACTCTCGCATCTATGCTGCTTTGTTTATAGTACTGTTGTTTTATTTTTTATTTTTAAAAATGATTGTCTGCTATGATCAAGCTCCATAATTTCCTTTTCTCTTTCATTTTAGATGTCCATCCTTCTTCTCTCTGTCAGAAATTGGGTTCGAAATATGGTTCTGTTCCTGAAGTAGAACTCAAAGAACGCAATGATTTCTATGCAGACCTTCTTAGGTATAAGTATTGTTTTGTTAATGCATATGTGCATGCAAGCTTTTGTTCTTATTTTATAATCCTGAGTTGTTTGTTTATTTTTCTAAAAATTGGGATTACCGCCTCTATGTTGAGGTTTGTGTGCTGACATGTTGGTGTACTTCTTACCCTTATTTGTGTAATCAATACTTCACCCTTTTTTTGTCCACACTTTAGTGCATGAGGCTAGAGTCATAGTAGCACTGTATATATATACATATACATACATATATATATATATATATATATATATATATATATATATATATATATATATATATATATGTATATATATATATATAATGGAAATTTAATGGGTTAATGCTTTTCTTGTAGAAAAACCCAGTTGTGGGTGGGAACTTCATGAGAGGTATTTTATTGAACGGTGTGAATTATGCCAGGAAGTATATTGTTAAATCTTCATATTATTTACCATTAACATTTTTCCTTTTATGAGAAGACATTTTCTTGATTAGGCTCTAGCCGCTCTACTGATTTAAGTTTTCCAATCTAGTAGTAAGAGGGGCTCTATGAGCACTGTAAATGTATATGACTGATAAGATGAAGCAAAGACATAATACATGTATTTAATGTACACTGATAATTTAGAGCAGTTACTATAGAGTACTATATATGGAAGCAAAGGCTCCATTACAGTTGGGGAACACATTCTTTTCTCACCATTTTATTTGTTCTGTTGATTGGCTTGTACATTATTTACTCACTCCCATTCTTAGTTGATGATCATAACTTTATTGTTATTATAATTTGTCCCTTTCTCTTTAATGGCACTCAAATAATCAATTTATGCTAACATAATATGTGTATGATGCAGGGAAGATATTGGAATGACTGTTCGATTTGTAGTTAACTACAGTGGCATGAAAGTTTATACAGTCAAAGAGTAAGATTATTTAATGTCTTATCTTCTAGAACTTATCTTCTCATATTATTTATGTATAAAATTCAAATGTGTTTGAGGTTTGGTCTGTTTCTTTGTTTTTGATGTTGAATTGGGGTTTGGCATCATTGATGCACCAGGGATGTTGAGGCTTTGTTGGGTATGTAGAGATTTGTTTCACGTTGTTGTCTTTTGGGGACCATAAGTAGAATAACATACTAGCGGTCATGTAGATAGTTCTTTGTAAGGTAGCCATAAATGCCTGCATTTAGATTTTATCGCAGGTGTCACGCCAGGAAATGCTATCATTGTTAAGGAGCCAGACTACATCATGATATGAATGTGGCCTATTGAACTTTCTAGGTCTTAATACCTGGGTCAATTTAGTGCTAAGTTGATTTGTCTTAAATGTATTTATCTAGTGACTTACTACTTAAGAATATGTAGCTTGCCTAAAACATGTATTCGATCAAAAAGTCAAAAGAGCTTGATCATGCTTGGTGAGCTGAGTGTTGGTTGACAGGTGTTACCTATATGAGCTAGTTGAAGTTAACACTGGATCCTAGCTAGATGATCAACACTCTTTAGCCAATTGAGTTGGTCTTGAATAGCTCTGAGCAAACTCTCATGGGTTTAGTTGTGGCAGATGGGAGCTTCTTATGATTGTTCAGGTCAGGATTTGTTATTTGCAGTTGTATAATTTGTAAATTAATTAAACAAACTATAATGGGTTGATCTATCATGTGATGGTTGTTCAATACATCATCGTGAATTGAGCCACTTTAGTGGGTCTCTCACAGTGCAAACTCTCCCAGTATTATTGGGCCCAGGTGGATGGGAGACTGTGGGTAATTGGGTATCTCTTTTGTTCTTCCCCTTATTTGTTTAGGTAGACTGAAACTTAGTTTTCTTTCCAAACATGTTTTGAGTTTCTACTCATAAGATTATTGGTTTTTGTAAAGGGTCATAGGTGTTAGACCTATTAGTAGGATGTCATATTGCTTGAGGATTTCATGCAGCTTTCATTATTTAGTGTATTTGGTTGGCGAAGAATAAATGAAGTTCTGAAGAGAAAGCTAGAGTTATGTCTGAAACAAAAGTTGTGAACTTCTTATCGTATAGGTTTTTGATATGGACTGAGCTAGTATGATTGTGAACAACTTGAACTTGGGAATAAATGCTGTGGTGGAATAATGTTGAAATCGTTGGACAAGTCAGCAAAATCTAAGATTGAGGTGCTCATTTATTAATGTTCACGAGTCTCACTTTTTAGTGTTTTACACTTACTAATCATGACCTTTGACATTTCTTTATTTGCACTATTTATAAAGCCCAAGTGTCTATAAGAAATGAAAAGATAGATGGGGCCTCCTTACTTAGTGATTGAAGCTGTCCATGGGTTACTCTAGTACATCAGTTGGAGGATAGGGTATGTTTTATAGAAGCTATCAGTGACCTTTTGACATTTACCTCCTTTCCATGCAGACAATTCAGTTTAATTTGGATGTCTAACCCTAGGATGAGGGTTGGGACCATGTAAGTATGTGTCTTTTGTCTGGTTCACGTTAATCATGGGCTTTGCATTCTGAGGATAGGACTGGCACTAAGAATGAGGTCTAAATTACCTAGCAAAAAGAGAACTTGTTGGAAGCTAGGGTCTTTCACTTTATCATATTTTAGTTTGAACAGGTCTTTTACGTGACTTACTGCTCAAGAAATGAGCTTGAACTTGAATTGGATGGTGCTGCACTGCTGCACTCAGCTAACCTGCTGAAGAATTGGATGTCTAACGAGCTCTTTCCCAAAATAATGTCAAGAAAAACCTCTATTCCCAAATTACAGCCACTTCTTTACATTTTCCCAATTTACCGTCCACGTAAGCATTGGGTAAAAAAACCGGGTTTTTTTTTTTCCGGTCCAGGGAAAACCGCTACTTCAAGTAGCGGTTTCTAAAAACAAAACCGCTACTTCAAGTAGCGGTTTTTGTTGTGAATTGTTTTCACTTAATAAACCGCCACTTGAAGTAGCGGTTTTTATTGAGTATACCGCTACTTCAAGTAGCGGTTTTCTTCAATACATCGCTACTTGAAGTAGCGGTTTTGTAAAAAAACTGGTCAAAAAAAATTCCAACTGAACCGGTGACGTGGACGGTAAAGTGGGAATATATAAAAGAGTGGCTGCATTTAGGGAATTACGCGAATTCCTAACCTTGTTTAGGGAAAGCGCTCATGTCTAACCCTAGGATGAGGGTTTGGGACCATGTAAGTATGTGTCTTTTGCCTGGTTCACATTAATCATGGGATTTGCATTCTGAGGATAGGTCAGACTGGCACTAAGAATGGGGCCTAAATTACCTAGCAAAAAGAGAACTTGTTGGAAGCTAGGGTCAAGCTAGGGTCTTTCACTTTATGATCTTTTAGTTTGAACAGGTCTTTTTTGTGACTTACTGCTCAAAAAATGAGTTTGAACTTGAATTGGATGGTGCTACACTCAGCTAACCTGCTGAAGAATTGAGAACTGGATAATATTTTTGATTTCTTCCATCTTATCCCCTTTGCTATGTGACATCTTTTAACAAGAAGAGCAAAAAAAAAAGGAAACACGATAGTTTGGCTAACAAAAGTATTGAAGTTAAGATTTCCTTCTTGCAATCACTGTCTTGTTAGTGAGAAGACATGGAATTATATGTGTTTGTGTAATAGACTGGCTTTAGGAGGGGTAATTTGGGAAGTCTAGTATTATTATTAGGTTTTGGTCATTAGCTTTGGTATAAATAGAGGGTAGAAAGAAGTTTGGCAGAATTTTGGAGTAATTCCTTAGGAGAGTTGTGACCTCAAGTCACTCATTAGAGAGTTGTGAGCTAAATATAGAGCTTGATAGGCTAAACCTATCGATTGTGTTTACCGTTATTTATGTTAATTAAAGCCTCTATCTTTCTTCTCATTTCTACCATTCTATAGCTTTCTTCTCTGTTATTGGTTGTGTCTGGTCAGTCCATTACAGTTTGGATTGGATTGGATGAGGTAATATGGTTTCATGGGGATACACTGGATTGCCCCTTTTACTCTTAGGGCTTCCCTGGTCAGTAGCAAATAAGAATTCTTTGGCAATAATGAACTTTGGTAGGGAAAAGGGCGTAAGATTTTGTGGCAGGTTCCTTTTTTTTCTCTCTTTTTTTGGTGGATAGGTAAGATCTAATTTTTTCGTGTTCAGGATTCTTCTTTGGTTATCTTATGACAGAGTGATTTATATGGCTTTCTCTTTAGACTCATCATCATGGATTTTTACATACTGTTTATTCTTGATGCATTGAGTCATTATTTTTCCCTTAAATTTATGATGGAATATCTGCCATTTACTTTACATCATTTTTCATTTGTTGATTGAAATATATATATTTTTATTAACAAAGTCTGACTGATAGAAATGGTTGCATACATCTAGATTTCCTTGAACCTTGCATTAGCAAAATAAAATAATGGGTGGGGGGTTAATTTGCACATCTAGTTGCTATACATTCTTCTTCCCATATAACCACTGTCTGCAATGAAAAACAAGTATACTCAAGATATGCTTTTTAAAGATCATAATGCCTGGCCATTGTCCCAGATTTTTATTTGTCATCATGGTCTACTTACCAGATGAGAAAATGGCCTTTTCTCTATCCCTGAGTGGCCCATTTATCTCATTGGTAGCTTGTTGCTAATTCAATCCGCCCATGGTCAAATTTGCTTGACCTAAAATCAGGCTATGCTTGGCTGCTCAAGTCCATCACTTTATTTCTTTATCTTGAAGCAATCATCTTAACCTGTCCTAACTCTCACCCAGCCCATTCTGTTTGACGATTTAATCCAACTTGCTTAGTCTGGCATATGCTTGCCGATGAGGTGAATTAGCTGTTTGTTTAATCTTACCTGGTCTCATTTTACTTCTATATCCTCTGCCTTGCAGTGCTATTGAGAAAGCTCTTCGGGCTCGTTTAGCTAAGGTAATGAATTCATCATTCCTTATGCGTATTCCTTTATACTACCCTTGATACTTAACTGCCTGTGTTGATTTCTGCTTTTTTTTTCTGTCCATGCTTAACAGACAAATCCGGAGACTGATTTCAAATGCCTCTCAACATTTGGTTCTTGTTTCACAAAAGATATTCCATTGCCAGCAGTAAGTAGCCATAAAAGATTGAGATTTTGTATGTTTAGATTTCTTCACATGTCTTATTTTTCCAGTTTATTCCTCAGGGTACTATAATTGACTTCAGAAGAACTGCTGACGGGCATCTGATTACCGAAAGTGAGTAATTGTGTTGGATCCAGCTATGTTGTAAAATATTTTATGACTAATACTGGCAATCTTGTTATGCAGTTGGAGGCAACCAAATTGGTGCAGTGCAAAGTAGGGAGTTGTGTAGTAAGTAGTTTCTTCTGTATCCCTAGCCTTTCCTTTTTGTTAAGTGCAAATAAAATTATATACATATTACATGTGAGTTGAAGTGTTGGGGGGTGCTTACCTCTGTCAATCATGCAAGTCTTCTGTGAAGATTTCATCCTGGTCACATTTGTTTAAAAGACTGGGAACGGAGCTAAAAAAAAAACTAGGTTTATGTCTCTTAAGCCCAGTATGTGGGGTTTGGGTCAGACCATGAAAGATGATTACCAGTACTTGGTGGCTTGGTGCTTGCTTTGACTGAACTAGAACTGGTGCAATATTCCATCTATTAGGCATCACCCCTCGTATTGTTCCCCCAAATCAGAAAGTGTGGCAATCATGTTTGAGGTTCTTACGTGGAGATTTTCTGTGCAGGGGCATTTTTTGACATGTACATTGGAGAAGTTCCTGTCTCAGAGCAAACAAAAGAAGAGATTGGAAGAAATGTTGCTACTCTTATGAGAAGGTGCTAAGCTGATTACTCTTCTGGATTATTAGGAGCCTAAGCCAAGGGTTTCCTGTGCTGCTTGACCCTGCCTATTACAAAGGGTTCTGAAGTGGCTCGTCTTTATATTGATATTATGTTATCAGTCTACCAGAGTTAATCCTCCTGTTCATGAGGCTTCTGGCTTCCATGTTTGGCGTGCGGTCAATTAGTCAGCTGTGCCAAGTGTCAAACATGTGTTATATAGTGGATTTTCCCCCCTAAATTTCAGTTATATACGTAGAGGGGAAACATGATGAAGCTAATATTAGGAAAACTTTTTATTTCTAGTTATAAAATGACAAATTGCATATCTGCTCTTAAGTTATTTAATAGGGAGAAGATTGTGTGTATTTTGTTTCCTCTTCCGGCGTTGCCTGAGCTGGTGGAAGTAATTGGACAGCGGCTGTTATTATTCTTCCAAAAGTTCAACGAAATGAAGATATTCGCCTGTCTACTTACACTTACACACTAGGTGAAGGGGAAAGAGCTCCACGCCTCTCTCTCTCTCGCTCTCTCTCTTCCCCTTGCCCTCTCTTTTTCTCTGTCTTAAAATCCAAACAAATTGTTAATTTTATGCTTAATAATGCATGATAAACATTGGCAGCATGTACTCTTTTACGACTAGTAGTAATGATTAGTAGTAATGTCAAAATTATACTTGGTATATTGATCAACTATTAGCCATAATAGCCCACTAACATGGATAAACACAATTTCAAATGAGAATAAGTCTCAAACTCAAAATATTCAAAGCATGTTTAGTAACTTGAATTTTGCAATGTGAAAGAGTAGGATTCTAATCAAATCTTAACCCTTACGGTATTTTTTTTATCTAGTATTTGTGTTAATACTCTGTAGTATTTATTTTTTGTTACGGTAGTTAGTTGATATTCATGGATAATTAGAATTTTCAAGATATCAAGTAATTAGAATAGCCCTTCAAAAAAAGAAAAGAAAAAAAACATGATACGATTGCTTAAAAAATAAACGGAGTATTAGTTGACGAGTTGACGTTAGAAACGGAGTATTGACAATTAAAAAAAAAAAGTAAAAGAGCAGTACTCCGTATATCGGAGCTTTTGAAGTGGTTCCCTCGGGGCTTCCCTGTGTCTCTCCTCCATTGAAGTGGTTTCTTTCTTTGATTGAATTGAAGCAGGTATTACAATTTTGTTAATCATCGTATTTCACTTTCGCAATCTAGTGTTTATCTTTAAGTTTTCTCAATTTAGGGTTCTTTTATATACAACTATGTACTTGTATTTCTTATAATTTGATTAAGAATTCAGTTTGATAATCCTTGAATGTTACGGGCCTGGGATCAAAATTAAATCTGAGATTTTGAGAGGAAAAAAAGGGGAATATGAGTTGAAATACGGTCTTCCTTTTCTATTATTCACTGAATAACAAGTACTTCGTATTTGTTTTGGTCTGGATTCAGATTCTGCTATTAATCAGTAGTAATCAACAGCTTCTTCATCTTTCTTACTTTGAGTTTTGCATCAATGTTGCTGCTTTTTCTCCATTTCTATTTTTTTATTTTATTTTTATTATTTGGTGTTTTCAAGAGACGCATACTGCATTCCTCATCCTTTTCTTGATTTCCATATTTACTGGATTTTGATTTTTTTATTGCTTTTGTTTTTTTTGTTGTGATGCATAATGTTTATTTGTTGTAATTCTTGTATTTCGAGTAGGGTGCGCAAGGAGCTAAGGATTTGGGTTACATTGTGAGTTACTATTTTATTACAACTATGCATATGTGCATTACATGTATTTTGGAAATAATGTGGCTTCTTCTTAGTCACAGATACCAAAGATGATTAACATTTGGTTAATTCTTGAAATGTATTGTATTGGGCTATCAAACCATTGTTGTGTGCTAATTTGTTGCTTGCATTGGGACATGATGTGAACAACTATGCCGCTGTTCAGATTGATGATGTCCTTTAGATGATGCAGGAAATGGAAGCAATTCCCGTTGAATCAAAAGACCAAACGGCTTCAGTTTCTGCTCCACAAGCTGAGCCTGAAGATCATGGTAACATTATATGCCTGCACCCCTTAGGTTTGTTTTTTTAATTTACTACAGATCTTGATAAACCTATATCATTTTGCTAGAGATCAAAGCTCGAGTGGATGCTGTGTGGCAGAAGATGAATAAAGGAGTATCTACAAATACACTAAACTCCATTGTAAACAAACATACTCCAAATGGAAATAAAGCTCCACAGACAGATAAAGCTTCCAATGTAAGGTGTTTTTGAAAGTGCTTATCTTAAATCTTCAGGGAATAAAGTGATCAATTTCTTATTATTTTGGTCTTCTTTGTAGAATTGGATGTCATTATTGGGTTTGGGACCAAAAAAACCACAAGAGGCTAATGGGGCATCCTCAGAAAGGAAGCACTCCACTACTGCACACAATGGAACCAGTGATGAGGCCAAGAAGCTTGCAGCTACTGCTCTTGCAGCTGCCAGAGATGCTGCTGCTGCCTCTGCATCAAACAGGGGAAAAGTCGAGGTAATTACTAATTACATGATTACTGGTTACCTTTTCTCTTTCTCATGTTTGATTCAGTATTTTGTGTCAATCATTTCTATTGTACTGTATTAGCTCTCCTAGGCCCTTTTCTTTTTCTTATTTTTAAGAGGGGGGGGGGGGAGAGAGCAGGAAAGAGGGACTCTTTCTGGCTATTGTGTTTTCTTTTCATAAAATGCAGACTATTTGTCCTTTATGTTAGAGCACGTTTTTTTTTCTCAGTTGGTCATTGATGGGAAATTAACATTACAGTTAAATGTTTGGAGCATATTTTATTGGTCAATAAGGGTTGTTGAATCTTGAGCTGTGAACTTTTTGTTCTATTTCAGGTCACTGAGTTTCGAGACTTTGCTGGTGAAGAGATTGAGGTGAAGAAGATGGTTGACCCCAGCTCAAAAGAAGCAGCTGAAAGGGCTAAGGCACAAGCAGGGCCATCTTCTGTTGTGGATTCTGTACTGGAACAAATAAAGAAGAAACCAAAGCTTAGTCTTCTTGATAAGACCAAAAAGGACTGGGGAGAATTCAAAGGAGAAAATAAGGATTATGAGGAAGAATTAGATGCCTACAAGAAAAGTTCAAATCAATATTTAGACAAGGTCTCCTTCCTAAGTAGGGCAGATTACCGGGAATTTGAAAGGGAGAGAGATGTTCGACTTGCACAACAGGCAAAGAGGAAGCCAGATATGCGAGAGGGTCCTTAGTTGTTTATATACATGCAATCTATACAATTTTATGCTATTGCAGTTTGTAGATGTCCTCGCTTACTATTGTGGGTGTCATCATGTTTTATTGGAAAGGTTCCTGATCATTAATTAGGCTTTGTACCATTTTCTAATTTTAGGATAGTGCCAATGCAATGAGGCTGAAATTAAACTAGAATGAGCTTTGTGGGATATGTGTGTGATTTGTGATTCTTTGATTGAACAGATGTACCCCAAACTTTCATTCTGATAGGCAATTAGAAAAAGGTTAATTATGTGCACTTGTTATTTGAAGTGTGCACATATCTCTAAAAACTCAATAATTAAAATGAATATGCAATAGGAACTACCTGGATATGTACTTGGTTATTTTATTTTACGACTATGATTAGTTATGTTCATGTGCCTCAGTGCCTGTAAAGAAAGAAGTCACCTATTAATGAGGAAGCTAGTAAGCAACACATGATACATTTGCTCGGGAATTTAATACTAATAGATGTATAGGTAGATACTAAATACTCCACATTGTTTAATGATTAATAGATGTATAAATACCAAATTATGGAATATCTATTTCTTTAATGATTAATAATATCTTGTCAAAGTTAAAATATTATGATGGGGTGGCCTGTTATTCAAATAAAACAACAAAACATAAGTAGTTTGTAGTGTAGAAATGTTAGTAAGTGAGAGAGTGAGTTAGTTAATACTCTCCGTAAAAAGGAAAAAGGGAAAGGAAAACAAGAAAAAGGCAATTGGGGGAAAGTAGAAGCGTGAGGGAGGGTGATATTCCTGCAGTCGGTAATAAATTAAAGAGGAGGGCGAGTGCGGCGGAGGGAATGGGCGTGTTCTGATAACAATTAAGATGAAAGGCGGTGGCGCAAATGGAGTAGCGGCGACAAAGCGAAGATGGAAAGGGTTCGTAATAGCAGTGATGGGGCTTGTGATTCTATCAATGCTCGTTCCACTCGTCTTTCTCCTCGGTTTTCACAATGCTTTCCACTCTCCAGTTACTCTTTCTCTTTCTGGATCCGGTTCGTTTTCCAAACTTAGATCTGTCTTCAATCACTTTAGATCATACCTTTCAATCTTGTTTTTCTTTGCAGATTTTCCGTCTCAACAACAACATGATTCTTCTTCTTCTTCTTCTCAGGTAACTAACTAGTTTTAATTTTATTAATTTGGGGGCTCAGACTGATACTATTGTTGATTGCAGCATGATAGTGATAGTGTTGCTCTTGGAGCTTATCAATCCCACAACCACACCATGGATCAGGTATGCCTGTTTACTTACATATTCCATTCATTTTAATCACGCATTCTTTCAAACACAGATCAATGTCAATCTTTAGACATTACTTATTAACTAGTTTATATTTTAATCACGGTATCATACTATTTCACAATGCTCCAAATGTATGTCATGTCAAATTGAAATATAAAACTTTTCGGCTCTTGTCCTAGAAGTGCAACTTGTGTTTTCTTATAAAATTTACTTGTACCTTGTTTATACTCACTACTCTCAACAACCTCTAGGCCCTAAGGACTTTTCAACACTATAAAAATCCATTCTTGTACTTCTATGTGCACTTCAGATTGTTTGGCAAATGACAAGCTTTATAGCTCACTTGGGGCCTAGTTGTTTCATCAATCTAAGTAACTCTTTTCAGGTATTAGTAAACATTTTTTTATTAGAAGAGCTTTTTGGGTTCAATAACTTCACTTTGGAACAAATCAGATGGCATATGCTCTCAAATTTTACACTTTCTAACATCACTAGCTAGTATCTACAACTCAACTATACCATACACTTCTATTGAATCAAGCTCAGTACAATTGAACTCTAACACCTACTTTGGTTAATCACTCCAGGGACCTAGTTGTATCATGCGTTATTTTTTAACATCCATTTAAGCTACAACATACCATCTCCAATTTTATTTTACCTCTAATTTTGATAGGTTGCTTGCTCAAGTATGATAACCGTTACAATTCGCAATTATCAAGGAGAGCCTTTTTTTAAGTTTCTTTAATTCTAATTTGTAATTTTATTAAGAATGACATATATAGATCTTAGTCTATGGCTTGTCCTCTGGGATCTTCTGATTGAAGTTTACTGCCCTACTGTATGACCTTATAATTATTTTGCCTGTAGCTCTTTTGGCATACTAAGTTTCTCATCATTTGTAATATTATGCTCCTCAATACATTTATGAACACCTGATTTATAATTTTAATAATTTATGCAGTATTTTGTATTACTTTTTGCAGCATGATGAGACAAGGCATATCGAAGATCTTATAGAGAGATTGGCACCTGCACTTCCTAAGGTTCATCACTTCATTACATAATGTTTTAATGGTTAAGACTCATCTTGAATTTTTAAATAGAGATAGCACTTATACCTTTTGGTTTCCATTACAATCTGTGGACTGGATTATTAGGGTCAGTCATCTGCTATGTTTCTTTTGTCTATGTGCTGATTTTGAATTTCAAGCAAGTAGACTGCTTAAAGTTGGGGTGTATCATTTGATAGGTAAAGTTTGTAAGACTTGCCATGTGAAATTGATTGAAGAAATCAAATGTGTTTAGTTATTTTGAAGTCAAGTGAAAACGCCTCTAATGTTCTAAATATGTAGACAAAGTCCAGTTCACGTCTATGTATTTGGACTGGTGTAATGTTTTAATCAATTATTTTGATATAAAATTATACTACTCTGATACTTATTGAACCTCAAAGAAAATCCTTTGACTCTGCATTTATGAAAATCTTTTTTTTGGGGAGTGAGAGTGGAGGAGGGTATTCGGAGTAGGTAAATAAAGCTTTAGAAAAGCATTTTTTGAGAGCTCTTCATGATGGTTTTTTGTAAGTTAACGATGTTTCCTTGTGGACAAGCTTTGTTTCTTTTTTTTTTTTTTTCTTTGGTTTGAAGCCCGGGGTGGGAGTCTGGAGGGGGGATATCAATTACTAAGCAGTGTGTTTTGGCTTAAAAGGATACCTCAATTGTGTGTTTTAGCAATCATATGAGGGAATGTTAACATCTGTATACAAAACGAGTTGGATCCTAAAATTCTACTTACCAGCTCATGATTTTAGCTTGGATTTAATTGCATAAGGGTGGATTCCTAAGAAGTGTTAAATTAGTTGCACCTCTCTCTATCTCTCTCCTGTCACATGGGTCCATTTTTTTTATTCTCTCTATCTTTCTCATCTCCAAATATCGCCTAGTAATTCGCATTTGCAAAGTGATGCAACTAAAAAAACAGAAGGAAAAAAAAAAAAAAATTATGGCCAAAAAAGTAATTTTTTACTTAATTTGAAAGTCATAATCTATTTCTATTGAAATAAGAAAGAAGCTTGTGGTGGGATTCAAACTACTACCTCATTCATGGAATGCAAATATGAGTACCTACTGCACTTGGTTATTAATGATGTATGATAATCAAGCATAATTTGAAACATTTCGTTTTAAAATTTGTCTCTTTCCTATTTTTGGGCCCTCGTTATTTCGGGGCATGTGCAATAGGGCTCTTTGCCAGCCCTATTCAATGCCCAGAGATAAACGTACTACTTTCAAGTTTTATTTGCCTTTTTGGTCCGTGGTTCTCCCAATGGGGGTGGAGGGGTTAGGAAATTCAGTAACTTTGGTGGCTTTGATTCCAGAATATATGGTTATGTTGAGGAGATATATGGTGGGATGTACAGCAACTTTAACTAGTGGCCTTTTTGGCTAGAGAAGTATTTGTCGGGATTTAGGTTGTTTTTGTGGGGATTGGAGTAACTTATCCATCGTAAATGTGTATCAGTGTATAGCCATCTCATAAGAGGAATTACGTTTGCTCAAAAGCTCTGGATGAAGCCAGAGGGTGGTAGTTAAATCTTAGGAATTTACTTTATCCAAATGTTAATTTCAAGTTAAGTCTCGTTTTTAAGTCAAGTAGTTTGCCTGGTGCTGGGAATGCGCCACAGTTGCTCAAGGATATGTCACTTTCTTGCATTTTCAAAAATTGCCAAATTGCTGATCTTTGATTATTTTGGAGGACTCTTATCTACTTCATTTGTAATCTTTTATGAAGTATCAGCATCTTTCTTCAAGAATGTGCTCTGTGGACATCGTTTGTTTGTACTTGAACTCGTTATAGTTTTTGCCTAGGGCGTTGTTTATCATTTGTCAAGCTGAACTTTTCATTACCTCTGCTGAGTCCTTGGTGTGAGTGATGCAAGTCTCTGGGCGAAATTTAAATGAAATTTGTCTGAGAATGCTAATGTAGGTTGTCTGAAACTACAAATTCCACTTATTAGTTGAAGTACTGCATCCTGCATTCAATCAATCAACTTGATCTAGGTGCATTTTTTAGTGGGCTGTGGGCTAATATCAATGAAGCTTAACTAAGAGAATCTAACTGCTAATGCCACTTGCTAGTCAAAGTGAATCAGTCTTGTATGAATAGCTGACTTGAGTTTGGTGCTTTTAATTGCCAATATGTGAATTCTTGATCTGGATATGGGTTTTGGTGTGTATCTTAATGTGAAGCAATCTACTAGTCTAAGACAGTATAAATATCCTGTTGTGTTTGTGGTTAGTGTTTAATCTATGTCACTTACAATATACTTTTCGAGTATCAGGAGCGTGTTGGAAAACAAGATCATGAAATATTTGCCCAAGATGGATTAAATCGATCCATGACCAAAGCTCCTATGCATGTTTATCAGCCTAAAGGAAGCCCTGGTATATAAATATTTTAGTATGATTTCAAAGTCCTTAATTCTTTTGAAAAAAGATTATGTACCCTTTTGTTTATCTACAGGGCATCGTGTGGAGACTAATGTCCGTGAAGCCTCTCCAGAAAGAAAAGTATGCCAATATCTGTATATACTTTCCATAATTTGTATTAATTTAGTTAGTTTTTTTTTTCCTTGTAGAATTTTTTTCAATGGTTAGTAGTAGTCCCGTAGCCGCCATCAATATTAATTAAAAAAATCCTAGCAGAATGTCAACATCAGCAAACCCATTGAAGTGCGCCAGCTAGCAAAAGGTGATGAAAGTGAAATTCCATGTGAATTGAGGTTTGGGAGCTATTGCATTTGGCGTCGTGAACATAAGGAAGATATGATGGACTCTATGGTGAAAAAGTTAAAGGATCGGCTATTTGTTGCTCGCGCATACTTCCCGAGCATTGCCAAGCTTCCTGTGCATGAGAACTTGTCAAGGGAGTTGAAGCAAAATATACAAGATTTTGAGCGTATTTTTAGTGAAGCTTCAACGGATGCTG